ATTATGATTTCAGTGTAAAATTATGATTTAAGTATAAAATTGTGAGTTGATTATGAGTTTTGAAAAACATTTTGAGTTGTATTTTGAGCTTTGATTTTTTGAATTTTGAATTATATTTTGAAATTTTTGAAATTTATTTTTTTAAAACATTAAAAAATGTTTAAGAAAATTTTATTTTTTTATTTTAAACATATAATTTTTAATTTTTTAATTTTAATTTTTAATTTTATTTTATAAATATTTTAATTTTAATATTTAAAACTCAAAACACAACTCTACACTAAAATCGTAACCAAACACATAACACATAACTCAAAACTCAATTCAAAAATTAATTTAAAAAATCATAACTAAACAAATAACTCGGACATTCACACTATTTTCAAAACTCTACACTTAAATCGTAATCAAACACATAACAAAAAATTAAAATATTTAAAAATATATTTACAAAATAAAATAAAATATTTAAAATAAAAATAAAAATTTAAAATTTTAATATTGCACATTAATAAATAAATAAATATTTAAAATGTAAAATATTTATCTAAAAAAATAAAACTAAGAAATTTTTTAAATATTTAAAAAATATAAATTCAAAAAATTATAAAAATACAACTCAAAACTCTTTTCAAAACTTATAACTAAGCAAATTTTATCTTTTTAAAACTAAACTCAAAACTCATAACTCAAAACACGACTCTACACTCAAATTCGGATTTCAAAAATAATTTTAAAAAAATAAAAAAGCATTTTTTTGAATTTTTTTTTTTAAAACGTAGTTTTGAAAAGAGTTTAGTTTTGAGTTTTGAAAATAATTTTTGAATTGAGTTTTAAGTAGTTTTAAGTTGTATGTTTGATTATAAATTTTAAAAAGAATTTTAAATTTTTTTAATTGTCAAATTCGGATTTTTAAAATAATTTTAAAAAAATAAAAAAGCATTTTTTTGAATTTTTTTTTTAAAACGTAGTTTTGAAAAGAGTTTAGTTTTGAGTTTTGAAAATAATTTTTGAATTGAGTTTTAAGTAGTTTTAAGTTGTATGTTTGATTATAAATTTTAAAAAGAATTTTAAATTTTTTTAATTGAAATCATAATTCTAAAAGAGAACCAAAAGCAGGCTAAAGAAAAAATTACAAATACCTAGTATCTATTAATGAAAAACTTTAACACTTTAATTATTAAATTTTGTGAATTTTATCATTGATTTAAAAATATTTTTTTCAAAGTTACGTTGCAACTGTTGTTTTTAAAAAAAATAAAAGATGACAAGACAACAATTCCATCAGAGAGGTATGTGATAACACTTTGGCCAATTAAATGCAAGTGCTGCTTTCATTCAAAGTTGTGGTCAATTCTTTTATAGAAAAAATATTTTAATATTTTACCAAATCAGGCATAATCTTTGGTTAGCCTAAATTTTTTCATAAAATAACACAGTAATGATACATATTTTTAATTTGAAAACTCTAAATAGAGTACCAGTGAGGTGAAAGAGAGAGAGAGAGTAGAAAGAGAGAGATAGAGAGAGAAGTGTGGGCCTATCTTCACATAAGTACATTTCACATCATTGAAGTTGCATTAGAGCTCTCAAGCATTATTGATATAAATATATCTTTGTAAACTGATCAAACATCATACATTTTGCCACGTATTTAATGTAAAAATTTATCAGTGAGGCAGTTGGAGAGGATACAAACCCACAACATGACTTGCTTTGCGGTGTGGTCAAGTATTCTACTGTGATATACACGTGACACGTTTATAACTTTGACACTGAATATCAGGGCGGTGCCCCAATTTGAACGGTTCAGGATTTTCTGTTTTTAAGTTTTATTTTATTTTTGTTTTTTTATTTTTATTTACTCACAAATTGCAATCAATTATATTCCGGGAGTGTTTTATACTCAAAAAGTTATATTTATTTTGTGGGCATATTTCATTTTGCTTATATTTTACTTCAACTCCGCTATGGAACTCGAAATATCAATGGCTCGAAATCTCAAAACGATGTTATTTTAGGAGATTTTTTTTATTCTCTTACCGGTAAGATAATATTTTCCGTACCATTCGGACCATTCGAGCTCTCACACATTTTTCATTTTACTTTACTTTGTCTCTTAATTTTTTTAATTATCTTAGCGATTCTTAAATTTTGAGTGAAGTTATAATTAGAGCTAATCTTATTATGTTGATTTAAAAACTGAGAAAGAATATGTAAGGTGGTATTGAAAACTAAAATAAGATTTTTACAAAAAAGTTATATTTATTTTGTGGGCATATTTCATTTTGCTTGTATTTTACTTTGTCTCTTAATTTTTTTTTAATTATCTTAGCGATTCTTAAATTTTGAGTGAGGTTATAATTATAATTAATCTTATTATGTTGATTTAAAAACTGAGAAAGAATATGTAAAGTGGTATTGAGAATTAAAATAAGATTTTGATAAAAGTGTAAGGATAGTTAAGTTGTGTTTGGAGTATAGATTAGATAGTGATTTGAATAAGAAAAGACAAAATGTATGTAAAATGTAAATGAAATATAATTATATTTCGCAGAATTTTTTTATTTTTATTTTTTTTTTGCAAATTCTTACACAAATTCATAACTCGGAACATAACCTTAGTTTATTTAATAATATCACGTCCTTATTCTCTGTTACTTTTCTAAATAACATTATAAAAATGGATCCACTCTAGCAACTTGATTCGAAATCGACAGAGTTGATTAGGACAATCAAAAAATTAAATGACAAAGTGAAATAGGATGTAAAGGTTAGAGCTGCAAAGTGAAATTTACTCTTATTTTCTTGAATTAAATTAAAAATGTCCCTAGTTTACTTTGATTGGTTATTTAGCTTTCAAAATCAGATTTTCAATTTTCAATTCATACATATATATATATATATAATTTTTAGTAATTTTTTTAATATTTTGGTCAATTTTTTTTTATTTATTTTTAGATGTATATAATCTGGATGTAGTCAAAAAGTAAAATATTTTTCAATAATCTTAAAAAAATTCAATAAATATAAAAAATAAAAAAATGTGTTAAGTTTTCTATATATATATTTTTATATTTTGTAGTATTTACTAAATTTTTTAAAGATTTTTTCACAAATAAAAAAATACAAAATAAAAACTCAAAATCTGATTTTAAAAACTAAATAACCAAATATATTCATGTTTAGAATTGTTTAATATACAGTGTAATGACCAATTGATAGTATTTTTTTTTTTTTAATGTGCCTCATTTCATCCTCAGTAGTTTTTCATATGAAGATTGGTTTTTTAATTTTCTAATTTGAACACTTTAAATCTTACTTTGTATCCCATTCTCAATAGTTCTTTATATGACAATTACGGTTCCAACTTCCAAGGGTTGTGAATCCAGAGACCTATTTTAAAACATAGAAATCAAAATTAATTAGGATGCATAGTCCAATCTTGTGCCCTAATCTCTAAACAACTAAGATAGAATTTTTCATTTTATAAATAAATGTGAGTGATTTGAAATATTCAACAATTACCAATAATTTTTTTTCCATATATAATATTACAATAAAACTCAATAATTATAATTATATTAATGAAAATTAAATAGAATACATATATAATATAAAAAACTCTCAAAGTGGACAAGAAAAACTCCAATAAATTAAGATGGAGTTCCTCTTTGTTTGTACTCACCTCCCCTTATCTCTATTGATGTAAGGCCTCGTTTGTTTCTAGAGATGGAATGGAGGGAATTGATAGTGAGGGGATTAATAATGAGGGGATTGTTAGTGAGGGTCGTTTGTTTTCAGAGATAAAATGGAGGAGATTGATAGTGAGGGGATTAATAATGAGGGGATTGTTAGTGAGGGTCGTTTGTTTTCAGAGATAAAATGGAGGAGATTGATAGTGAGGGGATTAATAATGAGGGGATTGTTAGTGAGGGTCGTTTGTTTTCAGAGATAAAATGGAGGAGATTGATAGTGAGGGGATTAATAATGAGGGGATTGTTAGTGAGATATCAACAAAAATTTTCTTTTTTCACTGATAAAAAGAAAAAGAAAAAGAAAAAGAAAAAAATATCTAGAGGAAAGGATTCGAACCACAAGTCTCTTACAAAGATAGATGGGATCTAACCAAATGAGTTAGCCTCCGTTTGGGAAGTGGGTTGGTTTTTTAGTTTTTTGACTTTTTTGGCTATTTTAGCCTGGGCTAAAAAGCTTGGTTTGGGAAGGGCTTTTTGACTTTTTGGCTTTTTTGACTTTTTTTGTGAGAGAAGAATGTAATGATTATGGTTGGATGTGATGTTTTGTTTGTTATGGCTAAAATAGCCTATTTTGTTTTTTGTGGCTAAAATAGCCTATTTTGTTTTTTGTGGCTAAAATAGTCAAAAAAGCCTGAAAAAGCCCTTGCCAAACACAGGCTAGTCTATTAATTGACACTTATGACTATTTGATGGTTCAATAAAAGAAATATTCAGTAATTAGAACCAAATAGGTGATGGCTCAACCCCAAGGCAAGTGGTCGAATGGTAAAGTCTAAACGATAAAATTTATAGATCTTGAGTTCGAGTCACCCCTTGGGGCCACTGGATGTTTGCCCGGTCGTTAACTTCAGGACCCTCAGGATTAGTCCTGCCTTCTCTTAAAATCAGCGGGTTGGGGATACCTGAGTTATCAAAATAATAATTAAAGGGATTCGAACCACAAGTCTCCTATTAAGATAGATGGGATCTAACCAAATGAGTTAGTCTATTAATTGACACTTATGACTATTTGATGGTTCAATAAAAAAAATATTCAGTAATTAGAACCAAATAGGTGATGGCTCAATTTAATAATTATTAATCTAAGTAATATATATATACACTATTAATTTTGTATTTATATATATTTTTTAAATAAAAATAAAATTGTTAAGTGATAAATAAAATGGAACATTGGTTAGAAGTCTCTAATAATGATTTTCCCCACTTGCCCTTGCTAGTGTATAAAAACCTACCAAGTGTGATCAAAAGCTTGTTATTAACCCACCAAGGATTACAACAAAACCTACAAATACAAAAGTCTATCTCTATGCCCATTTGCAATAAACTTCAAATTGGAATCATAATCAGCACATCCATAATCAACCACCATCATCTTCTGAGCTTTGACCCATTATCACCATCATCATCAAATCAATCTACTGATCTTAATAAAAACCCTAACCCTAGATTTGTTTTTTGAACCATTGCAATGGACCTAACCATCACCTCCATCACCACCAACACCCATACCCCAGATTCAGAAAATGAAACCCCATCTGCACCCACTGCTCCACCCAATAATAAGACCATATCCTTCACCAACGGCGCACTAAAGAAACATTCACACCACAAACGCCGCCGCTCTCCGCCACCAGTTGTGGTGGTGAAATATAAAGAATGTCTCAAGAACCACGCCGCCAGCTTGGGTGGCCACGCGCTGGATGGTTGCGGAGAGTTCATGCCCTCTCCCACCACCGCCACCGCCACCACCACCGACAACAACCCCACCGACCCCCCCAACTCTCTAAAATGCGCTGCCTGCGGTTGCCACCGCAACTTCCACCGCCGTGAAGACGACAACCCCACCACCACCACCACCCACTTTCTTGACTTCTACCGCCCCCACCACCATCCTCTCCTGCCACTATCACCAACCCCTTGCCGGAGCTCACCACCCTCATCCACCACCTCCCCACCACCACCACCTCCGCTGCCACAGCCATCCTACTACTCTTCAGCTCCCCACATGTTGCTGGCCCTCAGCTCCGCCGCCCCCGAAGACCAATTTATGGTGACTCCGGCGACTCCCACGGCGGCGAAGGCAGAGAACCCAAATGGGAGAAAGCGATTTCGGACCAAATTCAGCCAGCAGCAGAAGGAGAAGATGTTCTCATTCTCTGACAAGTTGGGTTGGAAGATGCAGAAATGTGACGAAAGTTTGGTGGAAGAGTTTTGCAATGAAGTTGGGGTTGGTAAAGGTGTTCTCAAGGTGTGGATGCACAATAACAAGCACTCTTTTGCCAAAAGAGACTTCAATTCCACCACCATCAACAACAACAACAACAATCATCATCATCATAATGAGGGCAATAATGGTGTTCATCTTCATGTTTCCACTAATGGGTCTTCTTCTTCAGCTTGATCCACCCATAAGAAACAAAAGCTTTCAGAGACTGAAGAAAGAGACACAGTAATTCCTTCTTCTTCTTCTTCTTCCCATTTTCTTGTTTTTGTATCAATGTCAATGATGGAGAAAGAAGAGATCACAGGATAATAATTATTTAACTCATCAAAGTTTATCACTTTTCGTTTGAATCTTATATGTATCTGTTGCTAGTTAATATTTCTTCTGCTTTTCAATTAGGTAGCTTGAGTATTAATTATTGGCGTACCTCCTCCACACCTTCTTGTTCAAGTGTTTTCTTTTCTTTTCTTTTCTGATGGATTTCTGTTTTTTCTTGGAAATTTCATAGTTGTTTGAATGGGCATTTGGTCATTGTAAATTGTAACTATATGTAGGAGGGGGACACTGTTGTTTCTGCATCGACTTGGTTGTCCAAAACTGGCATTTTGTCAGCTTTGGTTACAGCTGGTTAATAATGTCATCTGCAATTCTGTCTTCCTGCATATTTATCGCACTCATCTGTATGCACATTTGCCCCCCAAAAGTCTATATCAATTTATCCACAATAACACAGTAAATTACATATATTAATTTTTTTTATTTGTTACTAATTGTGAAAAATCTAGAAATCTTCTAAATGTTGATTTGTGATTATGTATCAATTTTAAGCAGAATATAACAATCCCAATCAAACAATCAAGACAAAGAGACACAACGATTTAACGTGGAAAAAATCACAATTGGACACCTCCAACTGTGATAAAAAAACCACGGGCAACAGCCACAAGAACAATCCACTAAGAAGATTTAAAGGAATTACACAGGTATACTCTCAATTACCTAGCGAATCCACAACGCCTAATTGAACCAACCTCTATGTGCCTCTTACTTAAAAAAAAATAAAATAAAATAAAAATTACCTATGAAATAGGTGAATAAAATGGGTCTCGGTTGGTTACTTTGGCGGCCCTTTGAATTTGATTCAAGCAAACTTCAGAACCCTAATCTCTTTTACATTGTAATCATTGTTTAAAACTATTTTAATACAAAGTAATGTAAGGAGCCCCTCATTCCAAGTGTCCACACATGAAAGGACAGTTCTATCCCTGTCATGATCTTTGTTTTGTTCAGTTCTCGGTCAGGCTATCAGGGACTGTCTTGGTCATTGAAAGTTATATTGATCTAGTTGGGTACTTCATGTAATTATCAAAAATAGAATTAGAATCAATCAAACATTGCAACCAAAGTCAATTTTTATATGTTATCCTGTAATCTGAACTTTTAAGGCAAGCAGGGATTTGTTGTCTACTAAATATATTTTAAAAAACAATGAGGTGGAGTATACTTGCCACCTTCCCTTATTCGATTGGTCGATTAAGGCGGCAAAAGCTTTGTTCATTATTTGTTAATAATGTTATAGATTAGTTTAACCAATAAATTAATAATGACGATAGGTAGAGAGTTGCAAGTGATAGGGATAAGTTGATAGGCAACATTAATTTAATTGAATGGGGGATGCTCTAATTGCTGCATCAACATTTCGGGAAATTTTTATTTATTATTTATTTTTATTTTGTTAACTTGGCATCTCACTCTTTGGACCGATTAATCTGGGAACTAATGGGTACATCATAACCTCTTTTGAATTTGATTTAGGATATGTTTAAATTTGCATTTGTAAATGAAAAAAGATTATGAAAACAAAAAGAAAAGTGAAGTAGGAGCAATTTTTTATTTTTATTATTTTCTTCCTCTATTTCTTTTCTTTTTATTTATCAAGATCAAGATCTAAACAAATTTTACTAGATTTGGACATATTTGTTCACAAAAAGCAAAGTAGTAATTGTTGCATGAAATGAATGCCTCACTTTTGAATTTGAATTTGAATTCTTGTATGTTACAATAGCAAAACAAATACACAAATCTTTCACATAAAAGTACACAAAATGCACTCATCTGGTGGAGTGTTGGCTTTATTGAGGATGATAGGGGTGGGCGCGGGTCGATTGCGGCAACAGAACTTTCAATCCTCCATCTGTCCTCCAGATTGCCGGATTGGAGAAAATCAATCCGCATCCATCCGCCAATCCGGCGGATGTGGATTGAGCGGATGGATGCGAATCGGTTTGACGGTTTAAAATTTTATAAAATTTCAACATAATTCAACTTGTACACTTCCTCAAAAAAAAAAAAAAAAAAAAAAAAAGTATTACAATTAATGACTTAAAAAAATATTACAATCATTGCATGCCTCATCCAAAGCAAGAAAGTTTGAAACTTTATAATATCACAATCACTGCATGCCTTATCCACATACTACAATCACAGCATGCCTCATCCACATAAAGTATTATAATCTGTGATTCTTAAAATATACAAACAATTCACCAAAACCATGAACAGAGCAGTAGTAGAGATTGTATGTCTCTGTATTGTTACATCTATATCTGTTTTTGAAAATAAAAATCAACCAACATATATCATGTTTTTTATTTATTATTTTTAGAGATAGATTTAAAAATCAAAAAATATAGATGAATAATACATTTATTTTTTTCAATTCAAAAAAGATATTCAAGTTGAAAACTTTTTTTCAATAGAATATTTAAATTCTTTTTTAATTAAAAACACAAACAAAATATTTAAACAAACTGAAAACACAAAGTCTTATAAATTACTAAGGGTGCTCACGGTTTGGCGGTTTGGTTGCGGCCAAAAGAATCTCAAATCCGCCATCCGTCTGCCAGATTGACGGATTGGAGAAAATCAATCCGCAACCGTTCGCTCGTCATCACGCATCCGTCCAAAATGCGGCGGATCGGTTCGGTTCAGTCGGTTTTGACGGATTGGTATACCCGCTACTCACCCCTAGAGGATAATTGTAGCTGAGCGAAAATTATTTGATAGTCTCAAAGTATCATGCTTTATTATTTATGTGATATTCTTAATTAATGAAAAATCACAATATACAATAGTAGTCATCCTTCACTTTCTAATTACAAAATAATTTTTGAAAAAAACTTAAATGTTATATTTGGTTAAGTCCCGATAATTAATGTACTGATGAATATATTAGTTGTGGTAGAGGCAACAATAGTTGTGGTGGTGGAGGTCATGTTGCCAATGGTAGCATTTTATCATTAATAAGATTTTAATTCGTAAAATACTTTTCCTCTTTTAAAAGTGAAAATATTTTAAAACTTATTACAAACCAGTGATAAAATTTATAAATATTAATAATTAAAATCTTAAATATTTTTTGAATTTATAATAGTTTTGGGAAACCACCACTGTGGTAATTTTCTCAAATATTTTCCATCCACAAACTTTTTCTGTTAATCACGAGAAAAAATTTTTTTGTTGACTTTTATTTTCTATTTTATCAAAATATTTTTGATGGAGTGTACATTTTGTGCATCATTATTGGGTACAATTTTGTGCGGGGAACTTCTATTTCCACATCAAATTTACTCACTTCACATACTTAATGAATATTTTTTATATTACATTTTCGTTCTAAAATAAAAATACCAAAATACTCTCATTTTTTCAACTGAAACCCTAAGTCGTTGGCCTCCTCCTCGACCACACTAATCATGCTCTCCACCTTCAGCAAACCTACCATTGCCACCATCATTCCTATCCCCTATTTACGCCGCAACCACCGTCATCTCGATATAATTTTTATCACCTTTTCTGCATCACATTCCGTCGCTATCTCATCGCCCATTTCAACTCCGACGACACTTTTTTTTTTTTGATCAACAAAAGAAGAAAACGATGAAATCAAACATACATTACACATGAAAACCATCAATAAAGAAAAGACAAGAGCTATATAGCATCATAGCACCCCAACCTAATCCCAACTAGGTTGGTACCAAGAGGGATATGCAATCATGTGCTAGCTCAACTCCGACGACACTTGCGGCCACCTCTACAGCCTCCTCTATCATTCTCTCACTCTACTGTCATTCCTCAACACATCTCCACCCACTCTCTCTCTCTCTCTCTCTCTTGGAGATGTTGAGTTGTAGGGTGGTAGAGTGCAGAGTTGTAGGATTGCGAAGGAATGGTGATTGGTTTGAATGGTCACGGGTGGGCGATAAGAGTATGTGCTAAGAAGGGGATGGGTTGGAATGATGTGTGATGGGATGGTATTGGCAGCTAGTGATGGTGGAGGGATGGAAATGAGGTGGCGGTTTAAATTTCTGGCAAAGCAGGCAGTGGTTGGTCAGCTGACGGTGAATAAACAATGGTGAGAGTTAAGGTTACCTGATGTGGGTCTCGACTTTGTTGAGTGAAGTCAGGAGACCTGCAGCTTCTTGCGTCTTTTTCGTGAGATCCTTTTTTACCAACTTGACTTTGACCGCATGGAAATGAACATGCTGGATGGCCTACAAGAGAAGAAGCAAGTTAGAAAAATATTGGCTAAGTACAAATGATTGAAATAAAAGTTGAATAGAAGGACAAAAGGTCAGAAACTTACCAAGACGGAGTGTCATACAATTATGGTAAAGTTTTCATATTGGTTGAAGCTGGCGAGCTAGTTTATGTCGGCCGGAAGAAGAATGGTCGTGGATAGGGCAGTGCCGACTTCGAGGCTCTCTATGGCACTGTCTTCGGCTTTGAGAGGTCGGTTACCAACTAGGACCTCGGGGGCCCAGGTTTCCTCGAAGTGGAAACCACTCTCACCCTTTGGGCCTTCAGATCTTAGTTTTTTTGTTGGAGGCACATTAGATGACTCAGCCTCGACAGGCCTCTTCTCGGTGTCGGCTAGTTTGGATATTGTGAGAGAATCCTCTGGATCCTTTTCAGAATCAAAGCGGATTTGGGTGATTGTAGCCTTGGCCTTAGCCTTATTTACCCTCTTTTGCTTTGGCTTGGGCTGGGGAGATGGCGTAGATTGCTAGGACACAACATCAGGCAGACTAATTAATAGGTCCTCAACAATTGCCGATTTGCAAGCTATCTCTTCGGAGGTGGCCGCGACGGTTACTCCGATGCCGAGTTTAAGTGCCAAAAGGGCTAGTGGAGGATTCGTTGGATCGTAACTTAGCACGTTTGACCCTCGACGCTTTCGGCTGCGCGTTCTGTTGGCAGGAGTGTTCAAAGGTCGGCGACGGCATTGACGTTGCAATGGAGGAATAAGTTGGGCTGGAGCATAAGTGAATGGCTCGTTCACTAGATCAGGCGTTGATGCCTAATCTGGCCTTGGCGAAGAAGTGACTTGTTGAGTTGAAGCAGATAGTGGAGTTTTGCTTCTTCTAGGGACGTCGAGAAGTGGTGATTTGTAGATCGGCACGTAATGTAACAAGACTGAGGCCTTGCAATCTTCAATGGCAAGTCTAGGAGCCATTTGAGATCTCGGCTCGGGACATAGGACTTTCGAAAAGATTTGCTCGACTAAGGAAGAGCTACAAAATAAAAGAAAACATTAGAACCAGAAAGAGATATATGCATGAATGTTAAGAATATGGGACCTTGGGATGACTAAGTTCTT